GACTTCAAGGAATTTTAATAGCTAATGAGATCAAAGCACAACTATGCAGCAGCCGTATTAGACAGGAAGTAGGCACGCTATTCCTATTCTCTAAAGTCTTTCGGTAATGCATTTGCCAACAGATGAGTCACACATGCTGTTAAACGGTGGGTGTGAGATAAAATAACAAGAACATCTACACCCACACCACACACTTGCTTATTCAAAACAAGCAGCCGACACATCACGTATCCAAAGTTAAGAAAGGATAAACAATATTAAGTCAATTTAACATTACTAAAATGTATCTACTACCAAAGATTAATAATTAATTTTGTTTCGTATCTTTTATGATGAATATTGTTTTTTTTTAATTTCTTTGCCGATCCCCATAAATGATGGATTTAAAAGCGAATATGCTTGATAATTCATTATTACACTCCTCTAAACAGTTTTTAGTATTCAAAATATCTTTTGTGATTCATGGTAGAATGAAATTATTTTCAATATACATGGTGCAGAAAGTACAGATAAAATTTCTATACAAAAAGAAATACTCTGTAATATTATCAAGAAAAATGTTTCTTTTTACGTTTGCATGAAATAATTGAAATTCAAAAAAGACAATCTTCTTTAATTACGACGATTGCACGTAGTATCTCATGATAAAAAAGAAAAATTGTTAATTACACAGTCATTTTTACACATGTAGAATAGTATTCGTTGGTGTTTTGTTTTGTGCGCTTAACAGTGCATTCACATTATCAGTGTATTCTGTTTTTTTTTGCTTTGCTATAGAACATACATAGTTGGTTGGAAGGAATGCTAAAAAATAATATTTGACATATTTTCTTCCTTAGTTTATCTCTCTCACATCGCTATTGAATTTATTTCTAACTCTCGTGTCTTTATACTAAAGATTAACCGGTATTCTATTAACATGTATTACGAGAAGGAAAACGTCAAGGTCAAGATGATCAATGATTCTGGCAGACCTACTTCGAGACGGATGTCACTCGATGAAGATCCTGAACTACGAAGAACTCGCAAAGTTCGTTTGATCATACTTGGCGTGTGTCTTGTGAGTTTTCATTTTTCTTTTGATCCGAATTGAAATGTAATGAGAGAAAAAATTATTTTTTATTTACTTTGTAATTGATATCAATAAAGATAACAAACTATTATTAGTAACATCTAAACGAACCAGTCAGACAGAGTTGTACTTTCAGGAATATTTATAAATAGTTCTTTTGTAAATATTCACACAGATAGAATGAAGCATTTTACAACAAATTTTTAGACAGACTGTTTTCCTGCTCGAATGTTCTATAAAAAAAGATGTAGACAGGAGCTATTGATGAAAACTAAATATACTAATCATTTTGTTTGAATAAATAAAGGTAATAAACAAAAATCGTCAAAACCACTTAGATAGAATGCACAAGTAAATGAAGAAAAAATACGATGGATCACTGTTTTCGTTATTTGAAGAGATCAGTCTCGTTTTTTTAATATAATCTAGACGAGATCTTATGGAAAAAAAAAACAGTTCATTTGATACTAATCAAAGTATAATTTGACTCAATCTATAAGTTTCTTTTTCAAACGATATTCAGACTATCGGAGAGCTTTTCAATGTCACAATACTTATTTATTTGATACATTTATTTTCTTTTTATTAATATTATATATTAATATTTTTAGGTACTCGCCTCGCTATCCTTGGTACATTTGTTGAAGGCATTAGATGTGCCCACTTCTATGGTCAAGATGAGACTGAAGTAGCTCGGCGAATTAGTCCACGTCTTGTTTCAATTATTTTCTACAGCTTTGGATTATTAGCTACTTGTCGGTACTCTGAAACAGCTTTACGAGTGGTATGAATTGTGTCTTCTTTGTTTTATTTAATACACGTTTCCTTTTTTAAGTTTAAAAGGAAATTTCATTTTTTTTGGAAATTTAGTATTTTGTTTTTCTGAAACTAATCGTAATAACTATAGAATTGATTAACTCAGGATCGCATTATGTATATTTATGAAAGTATCTCAGAAGTCGCTTTAAAAAACAATAGTTTGGAATTAGTTTTGATTTTTTTTACTAGAAATTACATGTCTAGAAGTATCACATTTTTATCATTCGAATTAAAGAACAATTCTAATGTGTATGGAAGGTCGAAAGTTTCTGCAAAATCTTTAAAAAAATAAAATGTGATAAAGAAAGATATTTTATTTGAAATGGTTCAGCATAAACAATCAGTTGACCAGAGAGTTTTGATCGTACCACGTCTTTATCGATATCAATATGTTGTCATTTATATTACAATGATTTTTTGATTTCTAAAAATTTTCAAATAAAAACTAAGAAGAAAATTTTATGAAATAATGAAAGCTGTTTCTATGCGCATTTATATAATATGTCAGATGAAAATCGTACTATGACATTGACTTTGTTTATTTTTGAAGACCAAAACCAAATACACTACTAATCAATTTTAAGATTGAGATTCGTTGTAAAAAAGGCTATGAAAACTAGTTTAGAAAGTTTTATCTATTTTGAGATGTTGGATCTAGATGTTGACATTAGAAACTTCTTGAAAATAGCTAAAACAATTTATTGGATCCATACTATTTCAAAAAAAAATGTTCGGATTCAAACTGATTTTGTTTTTACTTTTAGTTTGCTTGCCTCACCATAGCTTTAATTGTCATCATAAGTGTTGCAATCTTAATTATCTTATATTTCGGTATTATATTTTTAAGTTCTGTAACTAATACCGATAATAGACAGATAAATAATTGGACAACTGATGCAATAGTACTTACTTTCTTAAGTATTCTTCAAGTCATTATTGGTTTTACTCTTATGGTAAGTGTTTGATCGTTTTCATATATATGTTGTTCATGTAGTTATTTTACTTTGAAGGTTGTCATTCTTTATTATTCCTTGAAATTAATCAAACTTATTAAAATTAAAAAGTCTTCACACATGCAAGAAATTTAACTTTTCATTTATTCCAATGATATTTTGAACTTTTCAACTTCTACTCAGCTTTTTATAGTTTCTTATTTGCTATTTCTTTCTTGTCTAAAATTTGAAACAAATATAAAATATCTTTTATTAATCGAAAGTTTGTTGAATTCAACAATTATTTATATTCTCAGATAATGCCATATGACACATTGGAAACTGTCGGAGTCTGTTGTTAACATGATGGTTTATAATCTCCGGAAAGAATCTGTCAAAGGAATCAGTTTATTGTAATGATAAAAATGTATTATAGGCAATATATGTAATGACATTTACTCCATTACGTTCAAGCTGATTTTGTCTAAGATTTATATATGAACAAAATTAGACAGGACGGGGCATACATACTCCTTTCATTTGACTATAATTCTCTACACGGACTATGTTTGTGAATAGATTCTTTTAGCATAGACTTATATAAAAATCTTGACATTTTCACCTGACGATTAATTAAAACTTAATTAGCAAATACGTTCCTAATCATAGGAGAAACAAATATGAAAACTTCAAGATAGATTTTATGACACGAGTTGCAACTATGATAAAAATTTTCAGCGATATTCGCTTCCCAAAAAAAATCAGTTTTCTAACAATTCTGTCAAGTAGAGAAACGAAAACTATTATTTTATCATCATCATCTACAGACTCGGGTGTGGGTGTGTCGATGTAGATACCGATCTTCTCTGCCTCCACCAACCCCCACTCTCCTACTTTACCACTACCACTACATAGCAAAATCTATAGAAAAAAAAATTAATTTTTTGAGAAAATCTTTAGCAAAATCTAAAATTAGCTGAAATCGACGTACAAAAAGTTTTTTCGAAAAATTTTCATCAATCGACTTAGTCTTCCATCCTAATTGGGGATGTTCTACTTTTTTTTCATTTTGGTAGCATTGAAAAAAGAAAAAAAAACTTACGTGATTTCCTCTGTCAAAATTTGACTTCGATCTCTCTTCTTTGTAAGACATTTTTGCACACAACATGAAATTTTGTCTGAATAAATATTATTCTTATCTTCCGTAGAATTGTCACAGTTACAAAAAAGCATTTAGTTGCATGTCGTGTCCGGTCTTTCAAAAAGTCGAAATTTTTTAAGTATTTCTAAATTTCGAATTTCTCCAATTGCAAAATTGTCACCAAGAAATTTCAACTTTCAAATCTTTACAGAAGTCGCCTTATGTTCAATTTTTAATACTCTTTTGAATGAGATATCGTTGAAAAATATTGAACAAAAATTAAAGATTTTATAAGCAAAATACTGTTTTTGCTGAATTAGTCAGAATTTTTGATGGTACTGTAACAAAAAAAGAACCATTGTCTCAGTTTTGTGAGAAGACTCGAATAAGAGTAGTTTCAAGAAAAAAACATTTCACTTAGCTATCGCGTTAAGAAGGATTTCTCCCGTTTCTTCATACGAACAGGAGAAATAATTGAAAAAAAAAGTGTCTTGATACTTTTTCTTAAGCCAGTTATTCGATATTCATTTAAAACGGATGCATTCAATAGGTGACTTGTGCGCATTGCAATGCAAACTATAATATTTCTAATGAAAACTGCTTAAATAGTGAAAAAGAAAAACAAATTATTTTTAGCGTCATGTTAAGTTCAGCATTTCAAGTAACACTACATCATGAATTATTTAATAATGATGAAGTACTATTAAATACTTTCTGTCTAGCACATTATCGATTAAAGTGAAAGAAAGTATGAAAATCAATTTTTAAACAGTGGAAAAAACACTTCTTTTCGCTTGTTTTCGAAAAAATTACATTAAAGTAATTTTTCGTTATTTATTTTTTACATGGAAGATCACATAACAATATTCTTCAATAATGATTCACTCACTTTACTTCATTGATGCTAAAGACAGATGTTGGTGGTATCGAACATGTGCACTCTCTCAATGCCTTGTTTATCTTTTACTCTTTATTCATAATTAAAATTTGTAAACGGATATTCTCTTCACAAGTAATGTGTCAAATGTTCATCGTATCAAACATGTTCTGTTGCTATTGCCGGATTAACATTTTCTCTGTCTGCGTTGTGCACAATTATTCGTGGTCGTGTAAAATAAATGTTCGTAGCACCAATTTGATTTTGTCTCAAATTGAATAGACGTTTGAGATGTATTTTAAGCGTTTCTCGAAGGCGTGGTGAAACGCAAAGAAAAACAAAGAAGGAGGAAGAAAAATTGAAACATAAAATAATGGCAGACAATTGATTTATAAGCAGTTCGATGGATATTTGATCGCAACTTTTCTTGGCATCCTCTCCGTATGTAGCTGTCCAATACATAATAAATATGGCTCGAGGAGATGCACATATGATACTGAAAAAAGTTTGAGTAAGCATCATTCTCGTCATTTGTTGTTCCCACATTGGCAAATGAGTTTGAATACGTTGTTGTCTAATATGAGTGACAAGACGAATATTTCGACATGTTAGCAGACCAAAAGTAATTAGAATACAAAGTGGAAAAACAACAGCAAGCATTGGATTAAGAAAATAATTTGCAATCTGTTTAAATAAGTCGCTGTTGAACCAACAATTGTAAGTAGGCGGTACCAAGTCAGAATAGATGAGAAAAGGAATATTGACAAGTGGCCAGATAAGAAAAGGAAGAGGGACAAGACGACAAGCTATTCGAGTTGAACTCAATTGACGTATGCGAGCTAATTGAGATGTACATGCCCACCGATCGAATGCAGCCAAACATAGACAACTCATTGCTACACACGCTGTTGACTGAAGAAAAAACATGCTCAACTTGCATGCCATGGATGAGGCGAGCATTGATGTTGATGGTATAGTTTGGAGAAACACAACTAACAAAGCACTCATATCGGCCAGCGATTGACCAACAACATAATAGCTAGTAGAAGATTGTCGAAGTGTTTTTATACCCATAAAAATTATAGCATTCAATAAGGCTGCTGGAGTTCCAATTGAAAAGACTACAATTGGACCATAATAGGATATTTGAAGAGCTGCTTGAAGCATAAACATTTTTCTCTTTCTATTACTTTTGCCAGCTGAAATAAATCATATTACACCCTTTCCTTTCTTTTTCATAGGGTAACTCAAGAGTATTATCATCATCTCGTTTTTTTTTTCTTTTTTCCATTACATCTTCGAATAGAATAGATTATAATACACAGTAAGAACGTCTCGTTATCTCTAAAATAGGTGAACGATGCAGATGAAGAAGCTGTCAGTTCAAACCTTGTGAGTTTTAAATGTGAAACATACCCTTCCCGCTTCTACCCTCTAAAATACTAAATCTTCTTTCAAATTAGTTTTTGTTTTTTTGGTATTAGTTATTTTCATTATTTGTGTGCATTTCGATGATCTATTTTAATTTATATGCATTTCAAAAATCAAATGCTTCAGCATAAAAAACAAAACCAATTGTTTGAAGTATTTTATTTAAAACACGACCAAGATCAGAATGAGATTCTGTAGTTGTGCACGATTTTTTCTTTTTCTTTCTATCTCTCAAATGGTTTTGAACATGAACATGATTTTGTGAAGACATTCAAGCAGATTTGTTTTTAAGCCCTTCTCAATTGTTAATAAACCTGTTTGTTTAAGTTGTAGGATTGCGATGTCACGCGTTCAGTGTCATTTCCAATTATAGAATTAGTTGTTATTGTTGTAACGAATGATGTAGAATATATACATTCATCAAGAATAATATCATTATGCCTTTTCTAATGAAATATCTTGTATCTTGATAATGTGGCAGAAATTAAATAATTATTAGAAAACAAACGATTCATTTGATTAAAGTAGATTCAAAATTGATCTCACTAGTATCACATCTATACATGTCTGTTTTTTATTAGTAATGAAAGTGCAATATTATTGAATGCAGAGCAATAACATAAATGAGGTCATACGGGATTCCGATGCTAATAGCATTCGGATCAGATTTTTTTCCGAAACAAAAATTTCAGACCGACCTCTTAGTAGTATTAAAAAGATAACAACACGAAAGCTGCTAAACGCATTAACAATCAAACAAAAACTTTTTCCAAGCTCTTAGGGGTAACGGGGGTAACTATTACAAGTGAAAAACTTTATCGCCACTTCCTAGAGAGCTTTGGGTGTAATAGAGGTAACTTTATTTACATAGAAAGCTGCGACAGAAATATAAAAGACGTGTTCCGTGGGCTGCAGCGTTTCTGTTTCGTCTACGTCACCAGGCTATCACTATAGTAAAGCGAGGAATGCTTGAAAGATCAAATCAGTTGCTCGACTGTGGTTGCCGATCAGTACTTGCTGAATACTGGAATCAAACTATCTGTCACTGTGTACACAGAGACTAGCATGGGTCCCGGGTTTTCGTGGGCACTTCGCGCCCCACGCCGCTATACAGATATAAAAGATGTGCTACGTGGGCTGTAGGGTTTCTGTTTTGACTGCGTCACTAGGCTACGATTATAGTAAGGAGAGATAGATGTTAAATCAAAATAGTTAGTAGAGTGCCCTCAAGGAATTGAGTATGGTGCACATTGAAGAGCTAGACTGATCGAGGGGCTGCTGGAGTGTACGGAAATTTAAGTGAGAATCACTCTATAGATAGGTAGAAGCGTAGATCTCGGCTCTCTGGGGATCGTGTTTATCCAGTCTCGGCGGCGTTCTCTGAAGTATAGACTTCTTGGTAATCAAATAAAAGTTGTCGGCTTGAAAAGATTTATGTATGAATATACGTTTTTGCAATGTTCGCTGGGTAGCTGAAGCTTTTTCCTAGATAGGCACTGATGAGAGTCCGTACATTCAATGGATTTTTGTTGGAATGCAGAAACTTGGGATTGTCTCGGACGATTTGTAATCGGATAATTCTTGACATGTAGTGTTTATTTCCGGTGGAATCTTTTCATGTTTGCGAGAAAAATATTATTCTACGGGCATTGACATCTTAATTTGAAGTAGGTTGAAGGCGATCGGGTAGCTTCATAACTCAAGTTTGTCTGATACAGGATGCGGGAAGCGGTGGCAAGAAGTATTGAAGAATGATTGCGGGTCATACATTAGATTTTCTGAAGAAAGTTGTGTACAATAAATGAGGAGCTTGGAGTCAACCCACTGATTTCTCTGAAGGTAGATGGGAACTGTTAGTTATGTGGTGGGAGTCATGGACGCTTCTGCAATGTCTTTAACTTCAGCATACAATCAGGTCCGTCAAATGTGCAACAGAAGTTTCTTCTCTAAGGCAGTTTACCACAACGTCATGTGGACGAGAGCAGCCTATTCTTTTTCACAATAGCAAATGTTTTTGAATCAGTCAATTATCTTCTTCCTCACTTCAATGAGGTCTACTGTTCAGCATTTATTGTGCTTTATGAAATGGAATCCAATACCTTTATCGTTCATTGTGATTGATGGCCTTGTGGTTTTCTTTGAACGCTTTTACTAATCAGAGACAGAAACTAGACCTTTTCTTTGTTTCACGTAGAATTTCACATACCGTCGATATTGTTAATAATTAAGATCTCACTGGTTTCTCTTGCAACTTTTTGTAATATTCTTTCTACCGCACTCACCAAGTACCTTAAGTGAAAAAACTTTCCTTCATAAATAATAAGCCTCATTATCACGTAAGCTCCCAAGAAAGTGGGTGTCAAATTTTCTATATGAAAAAAGTTACCCCCGTTACCGCTTGTATGGCTGATGTAAAGTTTTTTTTTTCGGATGCTATTAGCATTTATTTCATTCATTTTCTGGTACTCCTCCTTATGGTCGATGCTTATAGCATGTTAATATAATAGTTTGTTAACAACATTGGAGTGAACATTATAAAAAACAAATCAAACCTCATTTTGATGATTTCAATCGATCGTTCTCATGAAATTCGTGCACGATTCAAAACACTATCTATTGATGGAACTCAACAACGAATACAAAAATCTGTAGAAGCTAGGAAGCGTAAAATTTATTTTAATTTATTTAGAAAATTGGGTGTGATATGGGCTTAGAGAAGATACATACGCATATGCATATTCACACACTGATTTTGTACCACGCAAAATACGATTTTAAAAATAATCGTTCTGCCACAGACAGTTTTTTTCAGAAAGTGAATGTTGTCGGACAAGACTTTTTGTCTAACATTGGACACTGAAAAATTTTAATCAATATAGTTTTTTTTTGTAGTTCAGAGTTTGCTGTCTCGAACAGAATAAAACTAAGATTTCTAGCCTTTAGAGTTATGGAGATATATACTTCGACTTTTATCCAAGAACTTCTGCAACGACTGCTATACTAATATCAACATCTTCATATTTTTCTTTTTTAAGGGCTTCTCCGTAAATTTTCGCATCCTTAATATGAAGTATAAGCTTCTTTGACAAAAGATAATTATTAACAAGCACTCCTAGCATCCAGAAGTGAGTGTACTTCTTTTTCTGAATATCTGATGTGATCATCGTCATGTCTTCTATAACTATCCAAATAAGAGCGAGAAATTCAATCTTTATTGACAGATAATAGGTAATATCTATAAGTAAATATTCAAACAAGAAAAAATAAAACACATATGCCATAGTAATATAGCAAAACTCAACATAAGGTAGATATCACGCATGCATAAAACCAGGCATGACTTCTATTTTTTAGTAGGCTAGCGCCTTTTATAAATGGGATTAATTGTAGCATGTATTGGCCTCTATAAGACTAAGTCCATAACATATAATAAATATCTTTGATTGCATAAAAAAATACAAAACAGGAAAACATATCAAGACTTATAAAAGTTAAGAATTTCACTGAAAAGTTGAGGTCAAAGCCTTATAGATGCTCAAAATTTAAGAGTCTCCATACTAGATACACTTATATCTCTAGAAGGACTTGCCTATGTGGGCTGAAGCTTTTAATTTATTTCTAACTCATATGTAATTATCTACTATCAAAAAAAAAAGGCCTGGAGCTGGTCGTGACTTACATGCAGCGCCTTCTCAGTATTTTAATCTTTTCCTGTGAATCAAACAGCAAAAAAACTGTAGAAAGCACTTCTTCGATACAGTTTTGTGAGTTCTATCTGACGACATCTGAATCATTAAAAAAAAGCTCGCTCAAATATTGACAGCCTTCATCTGATTTACAATCATATTCAATTGCTCAAATACATTCACAACACTGTAAAATACTATAAATCATGATTGACTATGTGCACAAATAAGACATATGGCACCTTTTCCTCCCAGAAGTGACTTTCACCGACGCATGACTCGCTGCGCTTGCGTTCTTTGTATTTACCAGCATGTCATCAACTATATTTTTTCTATAAATCATCCGCTCATAAGCCTCGTTTGTGTCTACATGTTAACTCATAACTTTCAGCAAACAAGCGGCAGGTATTTAAGAGATTAATTTCATGAGCAATATCATTCTACACAATGCTCCAAATCAAGCAATATTCTGCTTTTTCTACACGGCAGCCGGAACAACAATACGTGCCGTTGAAACAAGTGAGTGTCGAAGCATACATTAAAACGTTCGCTGCTGATGTAACGATCAAGCAAATTTTTCGCAATGATGAGACGACACCAATCGAAGCAGTGTATTGTTTTCCGATAGANGGGGGGGGGTGTGGGGGTGGGGGGGGGGGGGGGTGTGGGTGTGGGTGTGGGTGTGGGTGTGGGTGTGGGTGTGGGTGTGGGTGTGGGTGTGGGTGTGGGAGTGGATGTGGGTGTCATTGAAAATACGACATCCACACCCGACACCCACACACCCACACCCACGCCCCACACCCACACCCACAGATATATTCATTCTGACAAATTCCGTTAGAATGCGTAGACAATTTTCGCAGCACAGAAAAGTCAAAACAATTCTCATCGTATCAGATGTAGTACTTTTATCCTGATGGCAATCAAAGAAAAAAACTCATTTTAATATCTTTTATCTATATCTTATAATATTTGGCAGTTGATCGATTACTTTTTTCTTTTTCGCAATGCCCATATGTGAACTTTTGACCTTCACGGATCGATAATTATCAAACA